AAGATGGCTGCATCGTGCATCAGCAGAAAGTATGTGAAAAAACAAACATACACTCTAGTCTTCTTTCTTCTTCTGATATTTTTGAGGTGGACCGCATTTTTGTGCAGTAGTTGTCTGTGTTTCAAAAGAGCAAGAACTATAAAGGTTTTCTTGGAGGCATCCAGTTTGGTTTTTCCAATGTTTTACTGGAACGCGATCAACTTGGGTGTGACGTCATTCCCAGCTCCAACATCTGACATAATTTGTCTGGTTCTGATGTCACAGTCACAAGCCTAACACTAACTAATCACAATCAGTTACAAAGATCCTGCTCCCCTCAGTTCTAACAGCTGTCACCTCTGCTTATTATCTCTGTTTGTATATATACCTGTTCAATAGCAGTGGCTCTTTGTGAAGTATTGCCATTAGGCTTGTCTTTTGCATAGTGAGTGTTCTTCCAGTTAATGTCTCCTGTGTTATTTGTCCCTCGTTTACTCTTCTGGATTCTGCTTTCAGACTTTGGTGTTGTATCATTTGTTTCTCTGGCTTTTGACCCTCGCTTGTTTATGTACTCTGATCTCTGATTCCCTATGTACCTGCTTACTGCCCTCACGGTTCTGACCTGGCCTGGCTTATTGACTACTCATTTGGCTTGCCTTGTTGTTAATAAAACCCAATTATTTTACTTATGTGAGCATCTGATTCATCTGGCTAATGTGACAAGGAATCCTATAGAGCACTAGCAGAAATTAGCATTATCATCGCAATGGGGTTTTGAAGGTCTAAGTCTAATAGCCATGGTTCTGCACTGTTTAACTGCTGAAAATTTCTACTTCTAGAGTTCTAGAATCAATTATATTGATGCTTGACTATGAATTGTTGTGGAACCACTGAAATATTTAAAACATTTGGCTCAATTCACTGGGCTGAAAATAAGCGTAGTTTAAAAGAAGGTCCTATTTGACTGTGTGTGTGTGTGTGTGTGTGTGTGTGTGTGTGTGTGTGTGTGTGTGTGTGTGAGGGAGAGAGAATTTGAATGAGAACGAAAGCAAAAGAGAATGAAAGATGAAGGGAACGGTGCTTAACAATCACACAGCAGGAGGGAACTGAGATGAAATTGCCTTGCAACAACACACACACACACACACACACACACACACACACACACACAGCCACTCCGTGTTTACTAAAAATGCACTTTACAAAAATCTGCGTGTGTTCTTATGTGGCAGGATTAAAGGAAGGTCTTGCTGCCCCGGATGAAAATGAATGGAAGCGCTTTGATGTGCTCGAATGCGACAGGATGCAGATAGAGCTGAGGCACAGAGGAGGATGGGGACACGTGTTTAGCTTTAGCTCTCTGGCTTTCAGAGAAACAAAGCTGAACTTTCCAACTACTCAGCTTCAATGGCAGCCTTAAGGCCGCTACACACCAAACGTGATGTAAAAACGTGACGGATTTGGACATGATTTTTTTTTTTGCGCCAAATCTATACACATGGGATATGATGCAACTTTTTTGTAAAGCATGATGCCACTGGACTCTGTGGAGTGATGATGACACTTGTCTGTCTGGCAGTCTGATAGATGAGTCTGGGTTTGGTGAACGCCAGGAGAACGTTACCTGCCTGACTGCATTGTGCCAACTGTAAAGTTTGGTGGAGGAGGGTTAATGCTATGTGGGTTGTTTTTCAGGGGTTGGTCTAGACCCCTTAGTTCCAGTGAAGGGAATCTTAACACCTCAGCAAACCAAGACATTTTGGACAATTGTATGGTTCCAGCTTTGTGGGAACAGTTTGGAGAAGACCCTTTTCTATTCCAGCATGACTGTGCCCATAAAGCAAGGCCGATAAAAGCATGGCTGGGTGAGTTTGGTGTGGTAGAACCTGACTGGCCAGCACAGAGCCCTGACCTTAACCCCTTCAAACACCTTTAGGATGAACTAGAACAGAGATTGTGCTCTTCTGGATGAAAACATTTTCCCAGACACATTTCAAAATCTTGTAGAAAGCTTCCCAGAAGAGTCGAAGCTGTTACAGCTGCAAAGGGAGACCAGCTCCACATTAATGCCTATGGATTTAGAATGCGATGTCATAAAAGCTCCTGTAGGTACAATGTGTAGGTGTCCCAGTACTTTTGTCCATATAGTTAGTGTATATCAACTACATCAGAACAGGTCCCTTACTCTTCACAAAATAAGCAACTGTAACAGTGTGCAGGGTACTTTCCACTTTGGAAGAGCGAAAGGAGAACTGAGTGATTCTCCACCTCATTCAGGAGCTGAAACTGTGCGAGTGCTTCCACTTACAGCTGGGATCTCAGCTGAGTTTGAGCTGATTTTGGAGATGCAGCTCCACACGAGATGAAACACAAAACTAACTAGCTGAATGTCTTTAAGTACAAATAAGATCTGATTCTTTGCTCCCAGCAGAACCAACAAATGGTGACACTGGGCTACTGTCCATTTTGGAAAAGTGAAAGTAGTAGGAGGAGCTTCTGCACTGCATGTAGAAGCTGAAATGTTACGTTCTTCCACATGTAGCTCACTGTTTGTAGTCCTGTTTGAGCTGTTTTTGGAGATTCTGATCCTTTTAGCGTTTGTATTAAAGGTCTATTTGCTGGAACAGAACAGCTCAGTCATCTTGGTTGTTATCATGTCAACAGTAGAGGTGGCCGTGAAGATCACAAAAATCTTTTGCATAAAAATGCTTAAAAATCATGTTTGGTGGGCAAGATACCATCAGTTAAACACATGCTCAGTTCACTGTTGTGCAAAAAAATCACATTTAGTGTGTAAAGGCCTTGAGAGGTTTTACTGTTGCTGCACTATGTAAAGTAAGCTAAGTAAAGCTATACAATCAGATAACTAATTTGCATTTACATCATGTTTACATTCTGCATCAACAGGCTGGAGTCTGCATTTCTGATTTTTTTCCACTGCAGATCAGCCCTCTGATCCATCAGTGTTTTCCTGTGTGAGCTTACTGACCAATCACAGCTGCACAATAAAATCATCAGTGTTAAATATTATTCCAACAGAGTTTGACTGACAGTCAGTAGTGTCGGGGGACTTCTGGTGTTGGAGTACAAACAGCTTCAGGAGTGTTAATGATGAACAACTCTAGTGTGTGTAACATTGCACACTGCAAGCATTCTTTTAACACTATTCGGTGTCATATTAACACTATCAACAGTGTGATTTTCACTCTCGGTAGAGAGTATATGCATTTTTATATATTTGATAAATATATAAAATGATAAATATCGTGCATAAATATGTGTTCATATGCTCCAAAATGATCTCTGTGGGTGTAACGTGAATTATACATGATGGAAAGTAACGTTCAAGCCTTTATTATAGGAATTGCTTTCAGTTTTTCAAATAGAAACTACATTTTTAACATCTCCAAAGTTCAGTCTTAGAAGTTGCTTGTATTTTGTGCTTCCTACAATCCGTAATCCCAAAGACGTTCAGATGTTGAGGTGTGCCCTCTGGGGTGGTCAGTACATTGTTCCGAAAACACCAGCAGCTACTTTGTTTGGTTTGCAGATGTTCTTTGTTTTTGTCTATTTCCTTTTCTCAGGGCCTCTTAACAGCTCCGCATCCTTTCAGACTCATAGTGTTGAGTTGTCTTCTCACAGTGGAAGGATGGCTGTGGATTTTTTCAGATCTGAATCAAGAGTGGAGCTTAATTTTCTCCTCTCTCTCAAAGATGAAAGCTTTACGTGCTGTTTATCTGATGGGGACAGTTTTGGTGGTCTACCAGGTCTTTCTGGTGGTTACTAGGAGTCTCATTTTATCTTACATACCTTATTATCTTCACTATAATAACTTGTACTTAAACCTTACAGGTCGACGATGGCATATGCAACATCAATAGACGTCACACATAAAAGGATAAATCTCCGGAACGCTGCACGCTAGGGACTTATTTTTATTTTTCCAGGAAGGGTAGCATTGTGCTGTTCGAATGGGCTCTGGTGCAGTCGTATCCCTTTCAGAAGCTTTGTAATCCAGCCTTGAACTGCACTTTGTCTTTTTGAAGACTTTGTAATAAATCCATGTCTTTTGTCATTATCCATTTCTCTGTGTTGAAAAGAGTAATTGTTGTTGTTGTTAGCAGGCTGGTCTCTGTCTTTTACACTGTGTATTAACTTTATAGTAGGTAAAGTAAACCTCCAGCTGCATGTGTGCATGTGTGTTGAAATATTGAGATACCTGATACAATCCATGGCCTTCTTCCTGCTCCCAGTGTCTATTCAGAGTCCAAACACACACTGACACTTTGGTTGGAGCAGATAAGCCAGCATGCTGAGTGAAGTGCACAATGTAAACACACACACAGTACTATAGTATACGGTGCAAGTACACAGGCGGACAAGGGGGATATGCCCCCCTATTATTTGAACGCAAGACATTTTAGGGGTCACATGATAGTTGTTGAAACAAGTACATAGCTGAGCTGCAGAAGATATCAGATATAAATTATGATAAGGGTCAGCTTTCAATTACAGGTTAAAACTAATTAATTAAAGCCAAAATAGATTGTTTTGTTTAGTTGGAGTCAGTAATGACAAAAAGAAGCACTAACCTGCCCTGGAATCATTTTCAACGCTTCTTTACTGTCCTATGATCGTTTCTTAATTTATGCTGTAACAGTCATTAATAGTCCTTCTTTGTTCTTCTTAATGATCATAATTATTTATGGGCTTTGGTAGGCCAATTTGAGCGGGGCTAAATGGTATTTAACTCCCCTTTCCTAATTAAATGTACATTACTGGTCATCTATTATTTATTCTTATTCACAATAGGATGCAATAGCGGGGCGCGACCTGGAGGAGGCGCTGCTGCTGCTGCGCTAACGCAGCGCTGCCTCTGTTACACTACCAAAAAATTGACTGACGTAACGTTCAGCCAATCATATCAGACCTCGTACGTTGTAAGCCAATCATATCAGACCTGGGGGAGGGTCTTTATTTAGGCTCGGTAAAGTGACCGGTAACCGAGCTGGAGACAGGGTTCTTGGTGAAAGCTCACTAAAATAAACATTGGACTGTATTCAAAATCGATAATATACAGAGTGAAACCGTGTTAAACAGAGTGAATATCCACCGCAATATGGATTTGTGGCACATTATGGTCAGTATAGCTGGATGTCTGTGTTTGTTTACTTGGTTGCTTGTTAAGTCCAGCTAACTTTGATTAACTTTGGGTTTAAGTGAGGTGAAGAAAAGCGGTCAGGCTAACACTGACGTTAGCTAGCTAACTAGCTGACCAGCCAGCCAGTTTAACCCACAGAGTCAGTGGTTTAACTTCACTTCATAGTAAGTGCAGAGAGTGAACGAACAAGAGGGACAGAAATAACGTTACTGACAGCTCTTTATAGTCTTTGTTGTAAAATTTCTCTTCAGTATTTCGGAACAGTGACACCAGTATTTGTTACCAGTTCTTCAGTACCACCTGTAGATGGAAATTAGGAGGCAGCAGCTCTGCTGAAGGCCAGTCAGGTGAGAAGATTTTTACCAGTTAAAGCAGAAAAAATTAAATTGATTGTGATTTCCTTGTAATTCTGAGTTTAATAAATTAAAGTATTGCTAAACACAGGAAAAGAGGGAGAGAAAGAAGCTGAGGGGACTGACAGGACTGAAGGAGCAGATCTGATGGAGGTTAGTGATCAAGAAGAAAGTGAGGGAGAGAGAGCTGTATACCTTTTGGTTAAAGTGAATACTACATTTAATTGAACTTAACAGAGGAAAATATAGTCTTTGTCACCATGACTGTGAAATTCTGTCTTGTAGATTATTAAACATGCCTAAAGAGAAAGATCACGCTCTTTCTGATCGTACCAACTGAGACTGAACTGACCTATAATCTGAGTGTTTGAATAATATGTAATATATTTAGGATCTGCAGCTTATCTAAGAGAGGTGATGGCATTGCTTGACTTCAGTACCTTTGCCTGTTGTAAGTGGTTACACTGACTCAAACTACGAAGAGACAGATTTACCGTGTGCCAATTTGATAACCATTTTTTATACTTAATACAGCTGATGTACTTGACATTTTCTGGCTGTTGCTGCTCTAAAACTGCATCATAAATATTTTGGGGCCATTAAAAAAATTCTCTTTGTGGACCATGCCCCCAGACCCCCCTAGTACAGGCTTAGCCCCCCATGCATGAACCTCTAGCGACGCCCCTGTATTTATTATTAATATATATTGAATATGCATGATATTCCTTTTTTAATTAATGCATATACAGCATGACACGGCAGTGTGGTAAGTGTAATTACCATAACTGTGAGTTAACTTTGTTTACTCACTTGAATGTAAATCACTATTATTTAAGCTGTAGCTTCTTTAAATTGGTCCAGCAAATTTGTACCCCTGGTATGGTAGTGTGGACCAGTGAGTGGTAGGTGTTTCCAATAAAGAGGAAACTTCTTGCTAATATTTCAGAATAAAAGGCCCACCTGTATAAAATCAGCTGCATAAGAACAGAAAAGATAAAGATATTCACTTTAGACTTCTGCATTACTTTCATGACATGGTGTTATGTTAGCATTCTAGTATGACTTCTACCTAATTTATCCAGTTAGCTTAGTGTTGATCCATCAGCTTTGTTGCATGCTGACCAGCTGAAGTACAAACAGTGGTGTAATACACTGTTGCTGCCTGTTCAGGTACTTAGGGCATGGTATGCAAAGCTATCCTGCTGCAGCCACAAACACTAACCCCCCCCCACCCAAAAAGTAGACGATTGTTGTTGTTGTTTGGCTGTTATTGTTCGTTTGGTGGTTTGTGTTTGTGTTCTGTGTGACATGGGGTGTCCGGGGCATGGGTCATTCTGTCTAGGGGGTTGTCACCTATGGGTGAGGTGAGAAACTAGCTCTTGGTGACCTCACCGTGAGTTTGGGTGTGGTCAGTGCCTTTTTCTGCTGTTTCTTTAATAAAAGGGCACATTTTAAGGGGAAATTATGACTCCCCTTCTGCACATTGCCATAAAACACAATAACATTAAAACACAAAAACATTATGTTGTTACATCCTTAAGATTTTATCATCCTCATTTTTACCTATAGGTTTACTCGCCATTCCCACTTATAGGAGAATGGCATATTTTGATTCATGGTTCCCCTCATTGTTTCTTCCTCATGCTCTTGTTTTTTCTTTTGAGTCTTTTTTCCTCTCACTGGTTCTTCCTCATGTTCCTAGAAAGGTTTCCCTGCTGCTGTTGTCCTTGGTTTGCTCATTTGAAGTGTAGGCCCAGATGTCTTTTAAACGGCTCTATTATTATAGCTGTTGTGGAAACCACTATAGCAAGAGGTTCAATTGAACTTAGCAGAGAATTGAGGCCTAAACCCCTATAGAAATAAACTGAACAGAACTGCAAGAGCTCAAAGCCTGAATACCTGGAGAGCCCTTTAGGTGAAGTCCACACATAGGCAGGCATCAGGCAGCTTTCAGCATCGCAGGTCAGAATGTTTACACTGGCGAGTGTATACATTTTGTTGAAAGAAAAGTGTTTGAGAGAGGAGGTGTGGAGTTACTGAGGTGATGTCTGGTTCATTGTGCAAGGGGCCTGCTCCTTGAATCTCAATTGAGTCTCACAAAGTCTGTCAGAAGTTCGGCACTACAGAGATTAGCGCTTCTAGTAAAAGACAAGCCGCTGTTTTAGAAATCCCCCCTCCGTGTTTAGCTGACCTAGCGATTTTTGTGTTTAGACGAGCTAAAATTCCTGCATCACTTCATGAATATGGCCTCAACTGGGATAGAAAAGAGTGGAATACATGATCGTTGTTGTGTAGTAAAGCGGTACGCCAGCTGGGGCCGCGTGTTACAGTGATTTTACCACAGTTAAGGAGCGAGTACTGAATAATGATGAATAAATTGTTGCTGTCCAAAAAAAATTGTGTATTATTTATTATTCTATATCATTGTCATTTTTATTTTTCTATATCATTTGAGCTCATCAGCTGTCTTTTACATTGTGTGAAAATTTCATGGTGAATGGACCAACAGACATGCTTCAAAATTACATGGAATAAAAACTCATTACATTAACGTTCATTAGAAATAAAGAAAGATTTTGCTTTCTCCTGTAAAGTTGACATTTTGGAGATTTTATTTTGGACATTGTTGAAATAAAGTTTGCCATGTGTATAAAAATAAATATGTAATACAGTTTGACTGTTACTACGTGCTGACAGTTCAGAATATCTGAATCTCAGGTGTCCGTGCAGCAAAGTCCCGAACACATTTCACTGCATTTATTTCTCATTATAAGCTGCTTATACACTTTTTGCAGAACACTAAACACAGTTCTCCATGTCTAACCACAAAGCCACTGGAGAGGGGCGTGATCAGAACAGAGGGTGAAAGAGCGGCCCAATAGGTAATAGCGGCGGGTGAGGACCGCCCACTTGATGGCCAAACATTCTTTCTCAATGGTGCTGTACCTAGTCTCCCGAGGCGATAATTTTCGACTAATGTACAGCACAGGGCGATCCTCCCCCTCCACCTCCTGGGACAAAACAGCCCCCAGCCCTCTGTCCGACGCGTCTGTCTGCAGAACAAAAGGGAGAGCAAAGTCAGGCGAATGCAGCAGCGGGCCCCCACAGAGGGCTGCCTTAACCCGGGTTACCGCCTGTTGGCACTGCTCCGTCCACTGGACCGGATCTGGTGCTCCCTTTTTAGTGAGATCGGTCAGCGGGCTGGTGACGTCCGAATAATTAGGTATGAACCTACGATAATAGCCAGCCAGCCCCAGGAACCGTCTCACCTCCTTTTTGGTCTTGGGTCTCGGACAGGTCGCAATTGCCGCCGTCTTATCAATTTGGGGACGCACCTGTCCGTGACCCAAGTGGAAGCCCAGATACCGTACCTCCACCCGTCCAATCGCACACTTCTTCGGGTTAGCCGTAAGCCCCACCCGTCTCAGCGATCTCAGAACCGCCCTCAAATGTTGCACTTGCCGGCATAAGCACAGTGGGGGCGGAGAATTCTATCCATGAGTTGCTGAAACGTGGCCGGTGCTCCGAATAACCCGAACGGGAGGGTGACGAATTGGTGTAACCCAAACGGAGTAGAGAAAGCCTTCTTTTCTCGGGATACTGGAGTCAAGGGGATCTGCCAGTATCCCTTGGTTAAATCCAGTGTCGAGTAAAAACGAGCAGCACCTAACCGATCGAGCAGTTCATCAATACGCGGCATTGGATAGGCGTCGAATTTAGACACCGCATTGACTTTTCTGTAGTCCACACAGAAGCGAACAGTCCCGTCGGGCTTGGGGACAAGCACCACGGGGCTACTCCAATCACTGTGGGACTCTCCATTTGTAACTTTGCCACCTCTGCTTTCTGGGACGGGGAGAGCTGGTCCCCACAGGGGACCGGAGGGCGATCAAGCTTGGTTGGAACCTCCGGCCCCAACTCAGCTCTCTCGGGAACCACCGTCGCCAGAGAAACAGGGACCGCCTCCCTCCAGTGTTTAAGGAGATTGAGGTGGTATACCTGAAGTGCCCCGCCTCTGTCTGTCTGTCTGACCTCATAGTCAACTTCTCCCACTCGCCGTGTGACCTCAAAGGGTCCTTGCCACTTGGCGAGTAATTTGGAGCTCGAGGTGGGGAGTAAAACGAGTACTTTGTCTCCCGGTGAAAACCTGCGCAGCCGAGTGCCCCTGTTGTAGGTGCGGCTCTGACGTTCTTGAGCGTGGAGCAAATTCTCCTGAGTTAAGTGCCCCAGTGCTTGGAGTTTTGCTCTCAGGTCAAGAACGTACTGAATTTCATTTTTGCTGGTTGAAGGTGCCTCCTCCCAATACTCTTTAATAACGTCTAGGACGCCCCTAGGTCTCCTCCCATACAACAGTTCAAAGGGAGAAAACCCCGAGGAGGCTTGCGGGACCTCTCGCACCGCAAACAACAGAGGTTCTAGCCACTTATCCCAATTTTTAGCGTCCTCGTGAACGAACTTCCGAATCATATTTTTAAGGGTCTGGTTAAAGCGTTCGACCAGTCCATCCTTTTGGGGGTGGTAAACACTGGTACGAATCGATTTAATGCCCAACAATTCGTATAGTTCGCGTAATGTGCGTGACATGAACGTTGTGCCCTGATCAGTCAGGATCTCTTTCGGGATCCCGACTCGGGAGATTACTTTGAACAGTGCCTCTGCAACGGTACGTGCTGAAATGTTGCGAAGAGGCACTGCCTCTGGATATCGCGTTGCATAATCTACTAAGACCAATACAAAGCGATACCCACGTGAGCTTCGATCTAATGGTCCGACGAGGTCCATGCCAATTCTTTCGAAGGGGGCCTCGATTAATGGAAGGGGCGCAAAGGCGCTTTTGGGATCGCCGGAGGGTTTACGAGCTGGCATTCGCGGCATGACGCACACCACCTGCGTACATCCGCGTAAATGCCCGGCCAATAGAAACGGACCATTAGACGATTAAGTGTCTTCTCATGTCCCAGATGCCCTGCCATGGGATTATTATGAGCCGCATTGAATAACATTTCCCTACGGCTTTTTGGCACTAAAAGCTGGGTTGAAACCTCCGACGTTTGAGTGTCCCGCGTCACTCTGTACAGTCTATCTTTAATAAGTGAAAAATGCGGGTATGACAGGGGCCATCCCGGCTCAAGCGACTGACCATCAATAACTTTCACTTGGTCAAAGGCGTGCTTCAGCGAATCGTCACGTGACTGCTCCAGAGGGAAATCCCCGAGGGGAGCCAGGAGGGTGATCCCCGGAGGCGCGGCCACGCCGTCAGGTTCGGCCCCACCTCCGGAGGAACTATCTCCCGCCCCCACCTCGCTCAGGAGCCGTCACAGACGGACGGAGAAGCCCGCCTGCCTCGAGCACGGCACATGCCCCCTTCCTTATACTACTGCGGGACCCATCCTCTACTAAAGCCTTTACTAACACCCCAAACTGCGGCCAGTTTGTCCCCAAAATCAGAGGATGGGTAAGGCGAGGACTAACCGCCGCCTTCACGCTATGCTTTTTGCCCCGAAACTCGATTGTAATGGGCAGGACAGGATAATTGTGTACATCCCCATGGACACACTGTACCTTCACCTGGTATACCCTCTCCAATGCCGCATCTTGAATCAAGCATT